TTTTTTTTTTTTTTTTTGTATATAGCGCCACAAAAAGTGGCTTTATACGCATTTAAATTATTGAACCCAGAAATTATTGGTGGGTCAGGTAATAAGGCGTATAGCGCCACTATTAATGGCGCTATGTAAGGTGTGTCAGTATAACGCCACAAATAGTGGCGCTATACAGTAACGGTGCAGTTAATGTTACTGTATAGCGCCACTATTTGTGGCGTTATATATAGTTTGATAACTTTTTTTTTACACTTATTTGAGTATTTTGAGTAAAAAAAACCACATTTTGGTTCCGCACTCCAAGATATTTTGGGATGACGTGTACATGAAGCAGACGGATGGTGATGATTAGTTGGATTCAATTGTTAATGGTTTTTATCATTTGTATTAAAACAACAACTAATAAATTAACTGTATTTATTTATTCCCGCAATTATATTCATTCAGGTAATGAATATAGCATGTATCAAATTGTAACCAAGGCAAAATACAAGGGGTATATAAAGGATATAATTTGTATCAACCGTATACATGAGTGTATACAAAAAATACAATGTGTATCGACTGTATTCGTTTGAATAAAACTAAGGCGAAATACAGAAAAATAAAATGATTTTGTTGAGAATCAAATTCAAAACCTCCACTAACTAAGTGCACCCTATAAACAACTAAGCTACGGGAGATTGTTGCTGTCTTGTTTTAGTTCAAAATAATTAATCTCTTATTTCATAGATTTGCTATAAAATTTAAATATAACTACGAATGACAAATTTACTAAAAATATATTTACGAATAATAAATACAGTATAAATATTTAACCATATTTTGTATTTTGCTTACAAAAATTTGTTTTTGAGCGGTAGAAGAAGTTATTGTCCAGAAGTTGAAAAGAATAGTTTTTCCCAAAGTACTTTTAGAACCTTGTCAAGCATAAATTGTTGTTTTAATATTGACTGCAAGAGTTCTTTTTAAATTAATTAGTCAAATACAATTGTTACTCTTAAAAAATATTTTTTTCTTTTCAAAAAATACTTCGTTACAAATAATATTTTTTAAAAATGAGCAGATATTGCAAGTATGGTGTAAAGCCCTAGAAAAAAAAATTGCTTAGTAATTTAAGATTTCGTGGTGCCAAGGTAGGCCAAATATTTTATCTTGCGTGCAAATGAGGATTAAAGATATTATGGATATCAATTGGATATGTTAAGAAGTGTATAAGTCATATTAGAGGTGAATTGAGGTCTAAGGAGAGGCCTAAGTCTAAGCCAAGTTAGAAAAGTTTCATATTAGACGAAATCTGTAAATGAGTGCGCACAAGACCTCACTTTGAACGATCATATCTCCAGGTATATAAGGAGTTGTGTGATACTAACCTATCAAATTAAAGCCCTTTGAGTCTAGATTCCAACGCAACAAACCGTTCATCATTTGGAAGTGTATACGGAAANATAATGGGTATCAATTGGATATGTTAATAAGCATATAATTCATATTAGAGGTGAATTGGGGTCTAAGGAGAGGCCTAAGTCTAAGCCAAGTTAGAAAAGTTTCATATTAGACGAAATCTGTAAATGAGTGCGCACAAGACCTCACTTTGAACGATCATATCTCCAGGTATATAAGGAGTTGTGTGATACTAACCTATCAAATTAAAGCCCTTTGAGTCTAGATTCCAACGCAACAAACCGTTCATCATTTGGAAGTGTATACGGAAAGTTATGACCATGTTACTGGGAAGGTGTCTCTAGCGCGAACATTAGCGCGAAGTCGCGCATTATGCTGAGTATTCTGCCTCCTGCGCGCGAACATAGCGCGAGCTCGTGCGCCTGAAAGGTTTTTAAATATCTAAAGACCGGAAATAAGAGAATTTGAGTCATTTCTCAAGCTTAGGGCTTCCTCTACACCCCCAACTCGACCAAGACATCCAATTGCACACCTAAGGTGAGTTTTTAAGTGTGTTTTCATGGTGATTTCACTTCTCAATCACTAGTTACAACATGATTTTGATTGGGTTTCATAGGGTTTCTTCAAAATCTCAAGAACACCCCAAATTTGTCTTTCAAGATTTGGTCTACAAGAGGTAATCCTACACCTTAGACTTACATATATGGAGTTATTATGGAAATATGAGTATGGATTAAGTATTGTAACTCATGGGATGGGGATTGGAAGTCATAGGTGCCTAACCTAGGTTGTGTTGGTATTGTAGAGATTGTGAGGTGGGTTATTGGGGTATGATTCTTGGGGTAATAGTATTATGTATACATGCATGTACAAATTAGGTTTGTGGGAAGATTGATGAATATAAATAAGTAAAGATTGGGTTGGGGAAAGAAGAAAATCTTGTAAAAGGAATTTAAAATCAAGATGCTCAACTAGTGTTTGATAAAATGCTCAAATGAGCTGAAACCATGAATACCTTCCTAATTTGTGTTAATTTTGTTATGTCTCAAGTAGATTGGGATTGCTAGAATTTTCGAAACGTCGTAGTAACTTAAGGAAAGCTCAAACGAGGTATGTATGGCTAACTTTGACCTTTGTAAAGTCACTTTGTTTGGTGTACGAATATTTGGCATGTGATATCTACGTGGATTATTTGTGGAATTCTTGTGATTGGTATGATTTGATTGTTCGTGGTTAAGTCTCCCGATATAATGGTGTACGTAATTGGCAATAAACCAAATGTGTGATTGTGAATGTGTTATGTGGTAAGAGTTGAGAAACAAATGATGGAAGGAAATCGTAAATGATGCAGTTGGAACAACTGTGGTAAGAACATATATGGCTTGTATTGGCAATTATCGCGGTGACATAAAATGCATATGAGTTGTTGAATATGATGGAAATAGTATTGATGGCTATAGAAATTCTTTGAGAATTGTTGTTGTTCTTTGAGAATTGTTGTTGTTGTTGTGTTGTTTGTGAATTGTGATTGTTTGGTGGGATCGGGTTGCGCACCGCAACACGAAGTAATAATATGTGGGTTGTGGTGATAAGGGTGGCCGAG